TCGTGACCGTATTCAGCAGCTATAGAGCAGGTGGATGAGCAGGTTGATGAGCAGGTTGATGAGCCTATACCCATGCCTCGCCAACGAGCTCCACCACGCTGCAGTGGATGTTGGACTATTGGACATACTATAGGAAATTGTCCTAATAAATAGCTGTTATTTTCTCTCTTAAAAAAGTCTTCTTCAATGATGTTAGTGGTTGAAAGGTTTCAAAATATCTTGGGAGCGGCGAAAATTCGCGGTTCGGTGGTTGATTACGTTATTAGGACTAGCAACTGATGACATAATCTCACGCTTATCAGCGTCTGGGATTCAGGGGCATCCTGAACCGACGCTGATACGAAGAGAACATCGAACATCTATCTACATGAATCAATTGACTTTTGCTTTACGAGCATACACCCTGTCCACTTAACTGTGTACACAGTACCTAGCTGGTGATACCAACAATTTGTACAACAGGGCCTATATGCAATATTATTTAGCTGCTCTAATTCTCCCCTGCAGGGCCGAAGGGTAGCCCCATCAGCCCTAGCCCTGAGCCCTTCCCCTGTGTCCTTGCTTCCTAGCCCAGCAAACTATGTACAGACTACCTATCGTGGAAGGTTATACCGGAGTCAAATGCTGTGCCGAGCGCAGGGCCATCACAATTCCCTTATATCTGCACAATCTTCTGTATTTCCTAGCCGCTTAAGTAGCAGTGCATTCTCCCTTGCATTATTTGCATTTGCTTAGCGATGCTGACTAGCCATGGACCGTTCGGAGGTTGATGAGCATAAAGTATTTCGTACCTTTTGGACTTTTTTTGGGTGGACTAGCTCGGAAAGGCAGTCCAACTTCCCAGTATCACGCCAACTGATTGTATCACCAGGTTTTTCTTAAATAACTTCAAAATCCTGCTTTTACTAATCAATGCTCATAGCTGGTCTGATGCTGACAAGCTGGCGAGGATTCTGAGGTGTTTGAAAGGCAGATGATACTGAACCTTCAAGAAGTGGTGGTGTTGGCATACGAAGCTGAAAAGTAATCTTTTCAAGAACCCTGTCTTGATTCAGTGGCTTAAGACCAGCTCCTGCAAAGCCACTGCATATATTCTCTTGATTAAAGATCATCTCACGCGCAGGAGGATATAGATGTAGAAAATCCTCTTTATTAATGTGATTATTCCCAGCCATCATCATCCCTTCAACGAGTTTCCCATATGCGCGCTTAAGTGGGCCAAAAACACCAACATCCAGTGGTTGTAGAAGATGAGAAGTATAAGGTGGCACGCAGAGACAGATGATTACATTCTCATCACAGAAAGTATCAAATTCTGGAGTTAAATGGCTAGAATGGCCATCAAGAATAAGCAACCGCTTTGCACCACTTGAATATCGCCTAGAATACGGCTCAAACACATCTTTTAACCAGCGGAGACCTATCTCATCTGTCGTCCAGCCATTTTGACTAGTTGCAATTAACCAGTCTTGAGGAAGCTTAGGTTCTTGATACCAAGCAGCCTGGTGTTGTTTTGCCTTCAGGATGACCACTAGTGGTATAGGTAGCCCTTTAGAGCTAACACATTCAATGATAGTAACCCATTCCCGATTGCCCTGGATGACTGTACAAGGTCTCCCACTGCGCTCTACTGCAGTAATGACCTTAGATGTTATACAGAGTTCCATTACAAAGCTAGTTTCATCAAAGTTCCAGATATCATCTTTATGAATGCCATGTTCCTGAATGGCTTCATGTACGGCTTTAAACCACTGTTTTATAACCTTTGGATTCTCGTGCTTTGCACGCTGGTATGTAATCCTTTGATTATATCTTGCATGTAGTTCAGGAGGCATACTAAGCAGTTAGTTCCTCCCTCACAGTCATATAGATCCCAACAGCCAGTAATTATTTTGTCATGGAAACTGTCTCATATTCTTTCTGGGGTGCATCAAGCATTATTTTACTAAGTAATCTCTTCTCCCTACACTACTTATACTCTCAACTCATCAAACAATGATAGATGGCTGCTGATGATTGAATCAGCAAAGAAAAGAAGTTATCATGAAGAGACATCTTACAGTTCTTTATAGATATCTAGTTCATTTCACTCCCTTCTGATATAGCTAGCAATGCATCTGAGCTGATCTATTTCTCTTATTAGTAAGCCTTAGTTTAATATTTAGATTCTTCATTGCTAGCTCTGTTATCATCAATGCGTCTTTTAGTATTTGTAGCTGACTATAAGTCCTCCATATTTCCCTGCTTCCGCTTCCCAGTTTTAGCGTTGAAAGAACGGACGTAATCCCAAAGATTGGCCATTAGTGACTGAGTGTGCTCCATCTCTGAATATACAGAAACCAAGGGCAGACTGCTAATACGCTCTATAATATCCCTTAAGTTGATTAGACCGCGGAAGGTAGCAAAATAGTGATTGTTTTCAAATCAACCAATGAAGACACCGTTTTCGCAGGCTATTTTGCGTAGCCAATCAACCATGCTGAGGGCATTAAACACACCCCCATCCACAAGATTAAGTCTTCCACTGTCGATATCCCCAGTGTGCAAAAACAGATACTTCTCATTAATCTCAGTTATGGATTGAATCCAGGTGCCCGCTGCGCAACTAGCCTGCTTTATAGTAGGAGAGTCGCCTTGGAACCATTAATTCATCATAAGGGGAATTATTCATTTAGTCTGGCTAGGCGACATGGCGTGAGATCAGGTATATAATGGTCTGCATTCTCCTCATTTGCTGATAGAGCTGAAGGATATGTAATAATTTAGATACACATCAATCAACCTGAAGATTTTCAGTCGGGTGTTGGACGGTTTATGAGTCTGATAGAGCCACTTACAGTAACATGCTAGGTCAATCCAAATCACCTAGTAGGAGTTCAAAAATATAGATGATGATTTCAGGAGGGAGGGGAAGATAACATATTTTCAAATGTGACAGGCTCAAGCATAGACCAAAGCAGCGTCCAGTACTGGTGAAAAGAATGAAATTTTGAGATACACATTTGCCAGAAGCAGTCGGCCTGCTATCTCAGGGATTACTAATATAGCCTAGGCCAGATTGATCAATGCGTTATCATGGTTAAGGAGGGTCACAATATTGCATGCGAAACTCTATCATGCTTACATGATAAATCTAGAGTACTGGACAGGACACGTCAGCAGAATAGGGGTTAAGTGGGGTCACTGGGTGAGCAGGATTAAGGTTCAGGCGATTTAGGTGAGCTTCAGGTGAACCAAGTGAAGAGGGTGAAGACAGGGTGGCAAGGATACTAAACAATGAATTAAAGAAACAAAAAACATACAACAGCCGGGATTCGCTGGTGGTCACCCACCCAACTACTAACCGGCCGGCGTGTGGCTTAAGTACGGCTGAGCGGACGGGAAGCCCTGTTTTCCACACCCTGTGGTCGTATGTGCTAGGATGGACTCAAGATTTTAGTTAACACAATACTATTCTTTTATTCTTTTCTATTTTACTTTTTCTTTTTCTTTCCTTTTTTTTTTTTTTTTTTTTTTTTTTCTAATATTATATTGGAAACTATGCAATACACAGCAGGCTCCAAATGAAAGCATTGGCTGCGGTTCCTCACGAGTACAATATATGAAGCCAGCGTGATAGTAATTTATTCAGAGTCAGCGACCCACAATATAGAATTCGCGCATGCGCGACCTGATAGTTTTGCTGGTCAAAAAAAATAGTAAAAAAAATAAAAGAGAGAAAAAAGAAGAAGGGCCTTCTTGGTCATTCATGGATGTAATTCGCATATGCTTCCAATTTGATGCTACCTGCACCACTGCCAGCAAACTGCTTCTCGGAGCCTCAGCGACTCCGACTCACCCGCGCAAAAGCAATATCACAGTGGGCTGGCTGCCATATCCCTTTTGTACTCTGTTGAAGGGATTCATATTCATTTGCTGAGATGCAAGTTAGTGTTGTTTTATGCTAAACTCCAACCATGAGCACACATATTGTCACCATGGAAGGTTATACATATAAAGAAAGCCTCAAGGTACCTCATCGCCTAATATCAGTTCAATAATCTGTTAATTAACCTTGTCTATCGTACTCTGACGTTGGCTGACTACCAACGAACCCAAACCCGATCATCCAACAAATCCAACGCATTCTGCTGTCCCCTCGCCTCCAGCTTCAACCTCGCATGAACTGCATCAACCTCCTGCTCCGCATTAAGCCTCGCCCCCTCAAGCAATACTCTCACCCTCTCAACCTCCGGCTGATACGGTGCAAGCGGTAACATATCCCGAGGAATATCGCCCCACTCTGTCCAAACCGGCAACTGGAACGCCTGCATAGCGCGATTGAGCTGCCCGCATGATGCAGACGGGTTCAGAAGCACACTGCAGACTGTAAGGTCCGTCCAGCCTCGGAATGACAGCATGGGTTTTTGTCCTCCGGAGAGGGAGTTCGCGGGTGTGGACTGGGCGGGCATGAATGCGGACATGGCAGAGCGCTGAGCGGGCGGGAGGTAGGACAGGGGATCCAGAGGGGAATTGACGGGTGTTGTGGGTGGAGTGCGTCGACGGAGGGCGAAGTCGACGCCGTATGCTGTGAAGTGGTCGGCCATGTCGTAGCCGTATTGTGGGTTTTTGGCGCGGCTCGTTTTCCCTATTTCCGTGTGTTAGATTGTTAGATTGTTATCTGGTCGGGCTGTGGAATGGTAGGAAGAGGACTATGGATACTTATACATACAAACGTTGTGGCTAGGTGGTGCGCCACACACGTCTATGTACTCAGAGACGGCTTCTGGACTGAGATACCCCGTGCGCTGCGGGTCTAGGTGGCTGAAGAGCTCTTTGATTAATCTCATGAAGGAAGCCGAGGGTTTCATATCCTCGGTAAAGAGCGGGGTCCAGCTGGTAGATGAATATGGAGATGGTAGATGAGGAGATGGCTCAGTGCTTTCTAGTGGCGGGCTCTGCAGTACTGGTCTCGATGCATACGGAATAGTTGGGACGGTTTCTTCGGTTTCCGCTTCACTTTCTGTTTCTGGCGGCGGACCCTGAACCGGGGACTTCATCGACATCGGCGTTACCGGCACCGTGTTCTCCACCGGTTCTTCGTTTCTTGGTTCTGGATTTGTAGGACGTGGAGGTTTCCTCGGCGGGACATCGCTATCTCTATTTGAAATAGATATAGGACGGCGCGGGGGAGGAACATATGGGCTTCGGACAGACTGCGCTCGTGGTGGAGGTGGTGGAGGGACAGGGATGAAGCCGCTCTGTGCGTGCAGCGAGATTGCATGCGAGGGATCATCCTGATGCTGTGGAGGATAATTCTGTACAACGTAGCAGTTGGCGCATAGGGTTATGCGCGGCGCGCAGGAAGCACATGAGAGACGCGCTTTCGTAGGCTGGATGAGCTCATTGCAAGATGTGCATTTATACAGCGACAACATACTGATTGTCGGCTGCGATAAAATGAAATAAGAAGTCACCTAGATCCGGCCCATAACTGTCGGGGAGCTGCTGACACTTTATACGAAAGCTCGTCGGCTAATAAAGCCAAGTTTGGCCCTTGGCACGCGGGGTCAGCGTGAGACTTAAATAAGGCCTAAGGACATTGTCATTCTCGTGCAAAAATATATATAATATTATAACAGACAACAGGATAGGAGGAGGCCACGACTGAGATGACAAATGACTATGTATCAAGCTGGACTTCTCAGCGGACTAGAACCTCGCGACATATCAGGAGTTGGCTCAGCGACGCGACAAGCAACGCAACACGCCCGTCTTCCCCAAAAAACAAAGAGCACCTAGAAACCGAAAGATGGAGAGACCAGATGTCGCCCATAAGATCACTTTGAAGTACCACGCCGTGCGGTCGGTCGATGTGGTCTGCCAGTATTTTCAGCCCAATCTTCTGGATGCAAATGTTGATTGGAGTAAACATACCGTCAAGCATAAATTTGTCACGCTAGCATTGTTGATCAGCAACGCCAACAGGCAATTAGACAAAGCCCACAGGAGCACGAGATTGGTTCGAAATGTTTTATACGAATCGTCCAGTTGCGCTTCCTTTTTCTCTGTCGGCTTCTGCCACGGTGCCAGGGCGCGTCGGACAGTAAGCTCGAATTCAGTATCAATGTCGGCCTGAGGCTTGTCCACCTCCTCAAAAAAGGTTTTCTGGGCAGCTGATTTTTCGGTCTGCGCTGAGGGAAGAGAAGCCGCGTCGTCGGAACCTTTTGTACCCCACGAGACGTCATGCCAGTTGCAAAAAGCGTAGACATTGAGAATGTTGATGGTTGACGGCATCCCGAGAAAGTATGCCCAGGAAGATGTCAGAAGATGCCAAGGGTCACAGTAGAGAACGCTCGCTATGAAATACGTCCCGTAGGTCGATGCCAGTGCGACCAACACGAGGCCTGTTGTGGAAGTGAAGAAGGATTCCAACAGCCCTTGGGCCCCATGATCAAGGTCGAGATCCATATTGCCGCCGCTAAATGCCTGAGTGACGAGGTAAAAGGAAAGAATAAGGATGTATAACTGAACGAGGGAGAAATAGAGGAAGGATAGAATATACGCAAATTGGGACCTAGATAGAACCTTTGTTCTTAGCAGACACCTTCATGGCCGACGCAATAGAAGAATTACCCTTTAGGCCGATTCCCGAGCGCTAAGAAGAACTGCTGCATCAAGAACGCCAAGTATAAAGCCTTGATGACATTATTGACGACCGGCGAAGCGTCATTCCCAAACGGCCACCCCTTATTCTTATTTGTCGCACTTGGAGTCCCCACGATGTCCATGATCACCGAGGTAGTAAGCCAGTAGGATGCTGCCAATTGATTAGCCCTCTTCGCCCGCTGACGGGGAAATGAGTCATACCGAGAGAAAACCATGTCATAGTCAGTTGGAAAATATTATATAACAACTGCACGTGGAGGAAGGCAAGTCGAAGAATATTGTGACCACTTTTGTAGACACGGCTGAAGTGCATCACGGCATACAGGCTTGCGGCAAATGATCCATTCAGCCATCGGCGCCTCTGACTGAGAAACTCCGCCGGCGCTGCGCCCCTTACTATTGGAATCTGGAAGATATTTGGGAGAAGAGTCGGATGGCTTACCTTCCGGGACATCGGTCTCCCCTCTGGAGGCTTTCACATAGCTCAGTGTCCATTGCGACCCTGTCTTTGCAACCAGCTCAAAGCACAAGATGCGGTCCTCCGCCAAGAACATATTTTTCTTAAAGATATTCATCCCGTCGATCCCTTTTTTCCCTAACCTTTTTGACAACGTATGATCTCCATGGAAATACTGCTCCAGCGGTCGACCCATGATAGCACGGTAGCGATAAGCGGAAAATGCCCCAGGCAAGACACTGACATACCCGAAGACGCTCTCGAAAGGCTTGTCCAAAATATTCGAGATTTTGTACTCAAAGTTCTGCGCGGCTACCAAGGGATTAACCAGCTTTTCCCAGCGAGAACCGAGCAGGGCATGAATCTCGCCACACGATCCTCCCAGGTTTTTATTGTTGTAGAACGCTTCCCATAGCGCAAGAAGGGAATTATGGCCTGGTTTCGTGCCCGCATCAATCAGGATACATATCTCTGGATTCAGAATCCTTCCAAATGCATTGAACAGCCAGCGGTGAGAATTGATCTTCTTGCTGTTCTTTTGCTTCAGGCAAAAGATCATCTGCACCGGCGGCAAGTTGGCTGAATCATCGGCCAGCGGACGGACTAGCTGCTGGGAGGGAGAGACCGACAATTGGGTGGTATACTCGAACTAGGAAAGAGAGAAGAATTAGCCCTACCTACTGTCCATCGTTGGGGGGGGGATACACAAACTATATGTGCCACGGTCTCTTTGCCATCAACGTCATGCTTCATTAGACCATCCTGATATATTCCGATTGTAGCCAGAACATCAAGAACATCCTTATCACAAGGACCGATACCGTCGAAAATCAGGCATACCACAATCTTCTGCCATGCAGGGCCTCCTTTATCCCAGAACTGGGTTTTTTTCAAGTTCACAATATTCCGAATGTTCTGCATGACTCCGTGGAGAGTTCGAGCGGTCAGGACCTTGTCCTCATTGTAATAGGTAATTGCGATCAGAAGTTCGGTATATCGATTATACATGGCGGTCCGCAAGTTATAGCCATTGCGTAGATTGAAGTCATCAGGGTCGCAAGTGGCAGCCGTGTCTACAGCATCGTTTCAGCCGCCAGTCAGTTGAGTGGCTCATTCTGTCAGCCTTACATCGGAGATGGGTGAACTCTTCGGCACTTGTGCCATTTGAATCGCGGTATTTTGCTTCCACCGAGTTTCGAATCGCGCTGGGAACTGGATAGTCGGCACTGAGAACAGAGCCCTGGACGAGATTAATCCTGCGAGTTGGGTAGCGGCGTAGGCCTGAGGCTGCAGTAACAGTTTGACGTCTCTGCCAGGATGTCATACTGGCCGCATCAGACCAATCTTGCACTTGTGAGTCATCGTATGGATTCAGCTGTGCGATTCCCGGGTGCCAGGGTGAGCTGGCAGAAGTGTGGTGGTCCTCTAGCTGCCCAGATAGCAGCGATTGCGAATCATCTCCGTGCTCGTTAGCAGCATAAGGGTTGGACTAGGACTATGTCAGTTCATGGCTTTGGAAACTTGTATCGCTTGAATGAGGCGCACAATGCGAGATGTCAGCTGCCGAAGTGGATAGTGACTCCCTTCTGGCTCAAAGGACAAAGGGCGTGACGGGTGGTCGTGTACATCGTCCATGCCTCCTGATAGTGCAGAGTATCCTGAGTTGGATGACAAAACACAGCATCAGCAACAAAGAGTGAGCATCTTCAAACGTTCGAAAGGGTTATGTGGAGCATTCTGTTTCTTCATCTTGACAAGATAGCTGCTACACGCGCACGTCCTCCTAGAAGTCTGTTAGTGCAGGGCAATTGAACCATAGAATACATGTTCCGGTTGCATCTTGGATGGCCCGCTCTTATGCCGAACCAATCACGGACTAGCTTATTGAGAGTATTTATAGCCGGGAATCTTGGTCATTCTTTCAACTTCCCAGCGTTCGAAATGAAAATTTACTGTTTCAGTTCATCCAGGACGTAGGATTCAGATCCATCGGGCACTGGTCCGTTGTGGACAAACCAGCTGAACCATTGGATTACGGAGTATACCTAGGTAGTCTTATTGGGGCAGGGTGGCGATAACAAGACCGAGTGAATAGCGCCATTGCCTTTATGCATGTTTACTGTCGCGAACGAAATCAATTATCTATTCCTGCGTACATTGCAATATATATACGCTGAGAAACTCCCGGTTCGGAACGGCTTGCGCTGATACACGTTATTAAGCAGGTTAATACCGTATCAGATCCAAACGTTGCAGCATATCCCTTCCCGCTGTCTTGAGTAGCATGAATCGTTGGATCACCTCCCGCGTGGATATCCAAATTCAACTAGACAGAAAGCCCCCTGTCTACACAAATGAAGATGTGATATCGGGCTGTGTCATACTCCGCAGTGAAACGGAGATGGACATTGCCACGATAACGATCAATCTGACGGGGACAGCGACCTCAAGGCTGGACTCTGGCAAGCTTACTGAATCACATAAGGTATATTCCGATCCGCCATACTGCAGGCTCTATAGGCTGACTTCATGGGGGGAAAAGCTTTTCAAGAGAAATGAGCAAATCTTCCCGCCCAGAACCTGCGCAGGGTGGTTTACATCCGCGGCTGTGACGCTCTCTTCAGGAGAGCACTCTTTTCCATTCTCGATAATGGTTAGTAATCTCTCTTTTCCCGACATCCACTTCAAGTGCACCGTGTAATGTTTCATGTTCGGTAGTTCCCTAAAGTCACGGAATGCTACAAAAGTAGCACTGCAGATGCTGCTCGCAACCAATCGGCGAGCCGTCAGCCGCGCCATCTCTTACGAAAACTTCCACCGTCTTCTGGGAATAAATATACGCCCGAGGAGATCGAATATACTCTCGAAGCTAGTATCGTACAGCAGGGGCTCATACGTCGGACCCACAAAGCCGTGAGTATTCCGCTTCGAGTGAAATGTGCCCTGTCCTGACGTCAAGCACCAGACTCGGGACGTATTCTTTCATCCGGTCTCCACCGTCCGTGAACCGTTCCATACCTTGAAAATCAGCAAGAACGTGAATCTCAGCATAAAGGGCTCGGAGCTACTATGTCCACCCCTGACCTACGAGGTCGAGGTCGAACTGAAGAACGGACCATTCCTCCTGCTCGGACACCCCGTTGCGCTGGGAGTCAAAATCATGCACATGAATGGCAAAAAAAATGCAATATTACTGCAGGATTTCCAGACCATGCTCCGCGAAACAACAGAGATTCGAGCACGCGGGTCGATACAAGGCTTTACTCGTTCGTGGGTCATACAGACGATGACGAGTTTGTGCCAGCCATTCGTAGCTGCGAACAGGCCGACGATTGAATCCGTATTGAAACTCAATCACAGACTATGGAGTCGACATTGCGTACCGGTACACCTGGCTCCCACATTTGAAACGTGCAATCTTAGCCGAAGCTACAAACTTGAAATCAGACTTGGCATCGAATTTGGCCGGAATACCGTGGGTCACTACGATAACATAGCACCGCCAACGATAGAAGCTGACGTTCGCTGCAGACAAGAATATTAGAGTTTGAATTCCCCGTGTATGTTTTGTTGCCCTCGTTTACGCGATCCTGTGTCGGAAGCCTGGAGCCTATACTAGACCGATGTGATAGACATGCCCCCGGAAAGGAGTAAAGTTGTCCATTCTATGATTGGGTGGTATTCCCTTGAGCATTTCTTTCCACTTCATACTGTGCTTCCGAATTGTATTGCCTGCACACACAGAGAGCCGTATTGTATGACGGAATGCCTTCCGTCCGCTAGAAGAGGTGCGTTCGAGGAGCCTCTCCGTAAACGCCCATGATTTAAAGCATGACTCCCACCGGAGATCAGTCGAGGAGAATAGGAAGATTGTTGCTTGTTTGGAGTACAGTCTGAACTATCAAAGAACACCATGGTCGAATATACAGAGGAAACAGTCCGCCCCATAATCAACCCTAGACCCAACCCATTGCTCCGGTTATAACAAGCCCCAATAACCCCAACGCAACCTTAGTCGGGATCTGGCTGCGATAGGACAACGCCGTATTCGCGCTTGATTTGGTCTCAGTTGCCGCCGAGGACCTGGGAGATCCAGTTGTCCCCTCGTCGCCTTTCGAGGATGATGCGCCCGTAGCTGTCGCAGTGGGATATGACGTCGACGTTGCGGTAGCATTGGTTGCACCAGAGCACCATACGTCTTCCCAGGCTACCCCAGCCTTGTAGAGACAGTCGGTAAGATCCTGGACGGACTGGTTTACGGCCAGACTCCACAGAGCGCAATCGTGGTAGTATGGTCGGGGACCGGCAGGCTTCGCACAGGTGTCGAAGAGAGATTGATAGTTTTTGATATTTGGGACACCGCAGGCGGCGTCTTTGGCTGGGAGTTCGTATTGCCCTGGGCCGCCGCAGGTCGCTGAGGCTGTTGCCGCAGTGATGGTGGTGGTTGTGGCGGATGGCATCGTGGGAGGTTCCGGTTGCGAGAAGATGAAAAGAGTAGAGAGCATTAGGAATTATTTGTTTATGAGCAAGTGGAGTTCATATGCCGTCACCCCTGTCAAGGTTTCGAGGACTTCAAGTGTGATCCACATGCCCTGCCGGTTATTTATAGTCGGAATAACCGGATAACTGTACCACCCGAGTCCCTGTCAGGCAACGCTAGAGTATTGGGATAATCGAAGAGCCGAGAGTTCCGCCTAGGAATAGCTGTCTCAACAGTGACGAAGCCAATCATCGATGTCTGTTGCTTCTTTCATTCGGAACAAGCGACGTTGGGTCAGTGAGAGTCGGCAGCATAAATTCAACCCAGCATCCCCGGCAGTTGGAGATACAAACGAAAATCAACATCATTCTTCCGATAACTACGAAGTTTCTTTCAGCATGCGCTACTCTTTGATTACTGTCATTACTCTCGTTGGGGCTGCGTGCGCTGCCATGGTTCGAGAATCCCATACAACTATTCATCTGCGGCGCTAATCAATGCACAGCTTCCTTCCGGTGCTCCATGCAAGAGCGACGGGAGCATGGGCGTTTGTGAATCGAACCTGTGTGTGGTATGTCATGTCCAACCCCCGAATGCTCGACTCGCCCGGGAGCTAATTGGTACCCCATATAGCAAACCCCCAACCAGGCGCAGGGCGTATGCAAGTGATCTATCTATCCACGCGAAGTCCCACAGGACGAATGAGGTGTTCTAGAGGTCGGGCCGGAATTATTGCAGTAGCTCAATTGGGATGTACTTCCTAGGCCCAAATTCACTGGCGACTATCTTTGTCGAAACCAAGTTTCGACCATGCGCATTTGCGCTACCGCTACGTCGTTCTTTCGAAGCAATTCAAGACATTCGTTTATCTGGTAACCGTACCTAGTTTCCTTAAAGTGCGGCATAGGTTGAACGGGAGAATACGGCACTATGTTTTGCATATTGTATCGGGGGGGGGAACTCCAAGGGTTTCCTAGTACTGTAGAAGCCGAGCTCTAGGCCGTATAAACAGTAATCCAGGAACGCAGCGATCATGGCATGGTAGCTTAGATCAATGATATTCGACTTCGTAATAGGGCACTGCTCTGCTTCTGAAAAAGAAATATAAAAGTGCATATCAGCGAATTGAATGAGTAGAACATGTGAACATGTTAAATAGAGCTGACTAAAATAATCCTCATTGCTGCGAGCCCATCTGATCAGCTCTACCGGTGCCCCGAACAACTGCAAATTCACATATTTTCCTAAGGGTAACCCTTGGGACCTCAAAACTTCCCCTTTCTAGAAACCGCACCCTAGCGAAACATCCAGCGTAAGGCGACTGGCGGCGCGCAAATATAATCTAGACTCAACATCTTCCTACGGAAATGAGGCTGAATGTAGCGTACCCATAATCGCGATAGTCTCTGGTGCAAGTCCTATTAAGCTCATTGCCTCCAACCAATGAAGGAAATGCTCTTTTAGGAAGACGAATATACCCACATCCCGCTCCTGATGTCCGGTCTGCTCCGAATGATACACCCAGTAGTGGCAACAGTATTGCAGCTCCGGTGGAATACACCGAGCGATTACATGGCTCGCGACATCTTCTCGCAGTGTTCCATAGCCGGGTAAATTGCAGATGTTATGCTTCGGCCTGGAACCCATGATGTCCAGACTGTGTGAGAGTATCCTCCCGTGAGTGTCTCCGTGTACACGGAAGGCACCATGGGTCTTAAGAAGGGATTCCCGGGAAGACAAATGCAGGATGCGCACTGGTCCGTTGACTTATTCAGTTGGTAGCGAATATCCTCTACCGGTGTAGAGAGAAGCCGACCAAGACTGTACACGTAAAGAGGGGTTGCCGAGAAGAATTATCACCCCAACTATATCCCAGAACTCTTTGATAAGACTGAGATTCGTTGACATCTTCATCATTAAGGATCTGCTTTAACACGGGCTGGTATACACGCTCCATTAACGAGAGAAGGGAGAAATGTGTGGGTTGAAGTATTTGTTTTCCTCGGCATTCTCACATATGCTGGCTATATAACTTAAAAATGTTGACAAGCAATTGGCCGTCACCCACTGTGGCCATCCTGCAGGTTACAGGTCAGGTGGACCTTGAAAAAGATGAGGTGGACGCCCCACCTGTCTTGGCACTCCCAACCTCCCAGGTCAACATTTAAATACTGTAATGCATACCATGAAATTCGTTTTCAATTTCTCCTCCGCAATTATCTGCACATTGATTTAAACTCAAAACCACTTATTAACTGATTAGTTACTGCGTCTGTATTGATAATATGGATTCAGAGGCTCTCTCAATGAACTGTGGTGAAATAGATGATGTCTCCTTGAACGAAGAGGAGAATGAAGAGGTAAGAATCAGAACTGCTTTTCAAGTACTTACTAACTGATTTTTGACAACCTAGGCCCAGCCAAGCTGCTTTACTCAGTTAACAGACGCAAAAACTCATCCACTTCAAACACTGTATATTGAATACACAAATGATTTGCCAGAGTATCCAAGGACAGATCCAAATGGATATACCTATGTTATTCCAGTGAATAACTACTCTCAAGAAGAAGCAGAGCAATTAGTCAAAGATGTAAGTACTTATCAAGTGCTTGCGAATCTCTCTTACTAACCAATTCAAAGATTCAATATTCTCGAGCGAGTGTCCAAGGTGCAAGAAAGAATATTAAATCATCCTTTTTGAACTGCCCAGTTAAGAAATGGATATGGAAATGTTCTGGAGCTCTAGTATGTGATATCTGAAACCAGATCTACGCCTGCTGCACCATACTTTTTAGATGAGGCAACATGGCAGAAATCAAGATATACGAGAGATAT